GCATTGGTCCTAGACTTACCCTGGGAGGGTTCTGTGCAGGCCAGGTCTGGTCAGGCAGTCCTGCCTCTTTCATTTCTGCTCCAGGGCTGAGTTGCCGCCTCTGCATGACATTGCACGAGTCTTTTTTCCTTTCTGTCCATGAGGTTGATGGAAGAAGGTCTCCCTCTGTAGGAAAGTGTGTGCTGTGCCACAGAGCTGTGGAATAAATCTGCCGCAGCTTTCTGTATATGTATATTGTGTATATGCAGAGAAGCTGCTCTGTATTGTCCTGCTGGCAATAGCCAACCATTCTGTCTCTCTTGGTATCATGTCTGGGGGCATGGTGGAAGGTGAAACTCCATCAAGCTGTTTCTGCATCTGTCTCTGCTCAGGTGTTTCCTACATTGCCCCCCATCTCAACAACCTCTACTTCCTGTCACTCTGCCGCCGCTACGGGGTTTACGCTGTGGTGCGAGGACTCTTCTTCCTGAAGCTGGCTCTGAGTGTTGTCATGTTCCTGGCAGGACCTGATCAGGTGTATCTGCTCTGCATCTTCATTGCCAGGTAGGCAAGCACTTCCCCCCCTGCCCTCTGCTTCCTGGGAAGCAAAATGCTTTGTCCCTGTTCTAAGAGGAGTGGAAGTCAGGGAACAGGGGGCAGGATTGTACATAGGCCATGTGGTTTCCAGCTCTGACAGTACATGGGACAGCTCACTGCAGAGTTCACAGGCTGTCCTGCTGCAGAGTGAGGGAGGCAGTGATGTTCAGGAGGTCACAGACCAGCAGGACTGGTGGCAGCTTGCATATGCATTTGCCAGCTGCTGAGAGCTTCTCTCCTCTGCAGCCCTCGGTGTGGGCTGCAGCTGCCTGTGAGCCACAGGCCCAGTGTGTCCTGTCCCCAGGCCTGTCTGTGTGGGAGGTCAAGACTGATCTGAGGTGTCACTGCAGGGTACAAAGTCTTACTGATAGTGGTGTTCCTCTTCTGTAACTAGGGCACCTGAAATTCTTATTTCAAGTATGGGGAAACTTTTTCAACCCTTGCCATTTTTTATGATTTGTCACATTTTTCCTGTCATTTGATAGCCCTGTTCAGTGCTTTGCCTGTTGTTCTGCAGCAACCGCGTGTTCACAGAAGGGACCTGTAAGTTACTCAACCTGGTGGTCACTGATTTGGTGGACGAGGATCTAGTCCTGAACCGTAGGAAGCAGGCAGCCTCAGCCCTGCTCTTTGGGATGGTGGCTCTGGTCACCAAACCGGGCCAGACCTTCGCCCCTCTGATTGGCACCTGGCTGCTCTGTGAGTACACAGGTAAGGATGCTCCTGGGGAGAGCAGTGGAGCAGAACAGGGCAGAGTTCATTGTCTGGCACCTTGTGCTGTGCCCTGGGTGGGTGCAGAGGGCTCTTCAGTTGCTAACCTGTGCGTGGTCTCTGCATCTCCACGGCTGGTCACTCAAAGAGCATGGACAAAGATCCATCCCCACAGCCCCATTCTCACCAACTCTTCTCTGACACCAGGCTACGACATCTTCCAGCGCAACCCCCTGAACAACGTGGTGAGTGCCCAGCCGAAGCTGGAGTCTGCTGCAGCCCTGGAGCCGACTCTTCGCCAGGGCTGCTTTTACCTGCTGGTCTTTGTGCCCATCGCGTGCGCCCTGCTGCAGCTCCTCAGCTGGTCACAGTTCAGCCTGCATGGGAAGCGCCTGCAGGTGGTGAAGGCTCAGCGGCAGAGCCTGACACAAGGCCAAGCACCAGAGGTCAAAACAATCTAAGAGTGCCTGAGCCCCCAGGATGCTGCTGGTTCCAGGCTGGTGCTGGAGGGCGGGGATGGTGGGCTGAGAGAGCCTGATGTTCATGGTTCAGCTGTGAAATGCTGTGATGCCAATGTTTATTCACTCCAGGTGGTCATCACTGGGGAAGGCAGAGAGGTCCAGCATGTGAGGGGCCTGAGATAGATCACTTGATCTCAGGAGCAAGAACATTTTGTCCCAGCCTGTCCCAGGGAGCAGAGAGCTGCTCATTCCAGCAAAGAGGTGCTGGGTTGCAGGTGCTAGGAAACATACACATCCCCAATGTGCTTTTCTGCATTGTGCATGGCTCTAGGGAGCCACAGCCTCTGCAGCTGAGCAGGAGGAGACTGTACAGGGAGTCCTTCACTAGAGCCTTTCACTCTTGTGGAGTGGGAGGCTCCTGAGGGACCAAGTGACCAAGGGAATGATTGTCAAACAGGAGCAGGGATGACAGGACCTTGAAGGCCTTTCCCAGTAACTGGTAGAACCCTCCCACTAGCAGTTCTGTGGTTCTTGGACCAAATCCATTCTTAAGCATTTGTTGTTCACAAGACAATATGCTGCACAGCCAGGATCTGCTGAGTGTGCTGTTTTATGCTGAGGTTCCCTTCTCTGTGGCCTTGTAGAGGAAGTTGTTGCTGGCCTGGAAAAGGTGCTGGCCTCAAACTGAGTTCAGAGCCTTGAGCTGTATCATTTCACTGGGCATCCCATGCATGTGTTTATTCCTCATTTGCCCTCCACAGCCCCTACTACTCAGTGCTGTCTCACAGCTGTACCATGAGCCCCCTCCCATTCTGGGCGAGGTCAGGGAACCAGCCCCTAATCCAGCTGCTGGAAGTGCCTCCCTGCCCAGGGCAATCCCAGGTGACCTGGTGAGGCAGCCTGGTGCCCTGCCCTCTGGGAGGAGAGCACAGCCTGAAGGAGACACCAGGTCTTGCATTTGTGCCTTTGATCCCTCTTTGGAGCCTGTCTGACACAGTACTGGGCAGTCACAGGGATTTTACCCCTGTGGGGAGGGGCAGACACCTCAGCTCCTCTGTGCTAGAAACAGTGCCCAAGTTAGATCATCTCACCTGCTGAGAGCAGGTCAGAGAGCTGCTGAGAGCTGCTGAGCCAGGGACCCAAGGACAGCAGGTGCTTTGGTCTCCCTGGTTTTGGCTGAGAGCAGACAACAGGTAATCACCAAAGGGGTCCCTGAGGCAAGGGAGTGACTCCTCAATCCCTGTAATGTGTTAGGGGGCAGGGAGAAGGGATGTGCCAAAGCCTGTGCCTGCCTGCTGCAGGAAGGTGGGCTTGGCAGGCAGTGTTTGAAGCTGTTGCACATTGAGGGATGTTCTTTGTTTAGTCCCAGGTTCCCTCTGGGGTCTCAGCCCACCAGCCTGCCATCTTGCCTCAGGACATGGCTGCCTTCTGTCTTGGACCAAGACATTCCTGCCATGAGGCTGCTGTAGTTCTTACTGGTTCAATCATAAGTAATTTGTGCAACTTCTGACCAAGTTTGAGAATGATTCTCCATTTCATAAATTAAAGATGATCTTTTTCTGAATTGCTTGATGATTTTCTTCTAGCCAGTGGCTCTCTCCTGGCTGGGTGGATGTGGTGCTGTGGGGATATAGCTGTGGCTGGGTGGAGACAAGGGGACAGCTCCTTCTCCACAAAACTGCACTGAGGCTTGGCTGTTTCTGCAGGGGGCAGAGGGGAGCACCTGCCTTTGAAGGGAGGCATCACTTACTCCTGCTGCTTTGGAAGAGCCCAGAGTTAGGCCTGTCCTGTTCCTACACCAGTGGGTGCTGGGGACAAAATGGGACAGTCATAGCACTGGGCACTGTGCCACCTTCCCAGTGAGAACTACTCACTGCTGTCTCTGCAGACACCTGGGCTGGCACCAGCTCTTCTCACAACAGCAGTGGCATCACCCTTTCTCAGCCCAGGGTGCCCTCTTCCACCCTTTCACCTGTCTGCAGTGACAGAAGATTCAGGGATAACACATGTAAAGGAGAATAGATGCAGACACCATGGCTGCAGCCCAGGAATCTCCTCCCACAAAAGCCAGACCAGGAATGCAATCCTGGACCAAAGATGGTGTCTCCTTGCAGTCTGGCCAGCAACAATTCTGTACAGGCAAGATAACACAAGTTACCTCCTAAAAATTGCAAATGTGGGAGGCCAGGAGGCTTGAGTGTTGTATATGAATGACTTTATTTAAGTATGCTGGGCACCACCAGGCAACATGGTTTGGACAGTGTGCGAGGGAACAGTCAGGCAGACCAAACAAATGCTAGATTGGAGACAGCACCGTCCTGCCCAGTCACTGCAGGTTACAAAATGGAGCACTGCTGCTGCAAGGCCAGCGGAGGGGCTGGGGGGATGGAGAGCACTGCCTGGGGCACACAGTAATGGAACGGAGAGGAATTTGCTGGAATTCCCCTCTGTGTGCTGCAGCAAATCAGCAAGAACACAACCAGTTTCCCAGCAGAAGGCTGAGCATTGATGGCTCTTTTCTGACAGGTTCTTGCTTAAAAAACAGTCTGCTCCGATGGGGTGAGGGGAACAAGCAGTCTAACCTCAGCTGGGAGAGACCACCCTACGCACCTGCCTACAGCCTCTCCAAACCCGGGGGTCAGCCCCAAGAACGTGGTTCCTGCAGTGGCAACTGGCTGCTGCTTAACGTTTGTCTCAGCTGGGGCAGTGCACTGGCCTTGCCCTCACCTCTGTGGCAATCCTCCAGCTCTTACCCCATCTCTGCACCTGAGAGTGACCCAAAGGTGATGTGTGGCAAAGAACAGAAAAGAGAGAAACAGGGAGGAACTGCCACCAAGTCCAGCTCCATTGCTACTGCCATGTTCTGTGGAAAACTACTGTGAAAAAAAGAGAGCACCGAATAATGCACAAGTAAAACCGGAACAGTGGCATGCCCCAACACAAGCAGGTCTGCAGGCTGCCCAGGGCTGTTAGAGCAGTACAAGCAAAGCAGCCAGCAGGTGAGCAGAAAGGCACTGCAGTGCAGCAGAACACAGCCAGCAGGACCACTTCCTGCTCACACACGTGCCACCCACCCCGGCCTCCCAGCGCTGTCCTCTCCCCTGGTGCATTCCCAGTGACCAGCGCGTCCCCACGGAGCAGGAACAGGGGTGGTGCAGGGCTGGCCTTTCCGCTAAGCGTGGGTGCTGTGCGCAGTGCGAACATCGAGCAGCGGGCAGCTGGGCAACAGGTGCTTAAAGAAGACCCAAAGCGTAATTCCCAGGTGCTGTGGTCAGTATTTGAGAGATCCTCAGACATTTCAATAAATAAAACAATTCTTACATTACAATGCACCTTCCCAATTATTATTTTGCCCCAGAATGGATAAAGTACACAAGAGTTATGCCTGGCTGTGAATACATGCTCCCTTTGCCCTGACATGGCAGGAAGGAGGGAAACAGCCTCAACTCTTACAAAGAACACGAGAAGTCAGCACTGTAAATCTTGGCAGGTTGAGGGGGAACACACAAGTGCCTTCATGCCCATTCCGGGGTACTTGCTTCCAGAGGAGAAAAGGTATTTAAAACAAGGTACGAGAGAATAACCGTCTAGTACAATGATAGCTGATTAGATTTGCTTTGTTCTACTCCATGCAATACAAACTAAGTCCTATCGCCAACTTCTCCAGCTGTGGTGCAGACCCCACATCAGGCTAAGAAGTTACACATTCATATACACACACACACACCAAAACAGTGGGGGCAAATGGACTTAACTGCTGAGAATGTGCTTTCTCTTAATAAAAAATATATTAAAAACAACTTCAAAAACTTACTGATGGTGAAGACACCGCTGAAGAAGGAAGTAGCTATGGGGCCTCAGCTATGTGTTTCCAGACAATCCAGGCATTGCAGTCAGGCTGACTAAAGCCTGCACGAGCAGTCTGCAGTGGTTGGCTCCCTTCTGGCTTGCCAGGCAGTTTCTATAAGCTGTTCCCTTTGTTTTTGCTTATTTGTTTTACAATGACAGATGTGACTGTGATACAGAAAATAAGGGACTGAAATGAAAAAGGAATGGGCCATTTTGGAGAAATGTAGATTGGTATTTTCTCCTTTCCATTAAAAAAAAACCAAAACAAAACAAAAAAGAAGTTAGTAGTACTAATACAACCCTCCTGCTGCTGTCGTCTTTGCTCAGTGACATCGGGGCATGCTGGCGCACACACACACACACAGGCAGCTCTCAGACACTCGGACTCAGAAAAGCGAGTTTAAGTGAGTCTTCGGAGGAGACTGAGGACAGGTCCCAGGGCTAGAAGGTTTTTCGGTGGATGGCACGAGCTCCATCTTCTTCATATTCCTTTTTCGAAACCCACATTTTCTTAAAGGTGTCCAGAGAGGCCAGGATAGAGCCACTACAGAGAGACAGGCATGTTACGGGTTAAAGGAAAATGCTGGGGGCACTCTCATAGTATCTCTGCAGAGATGGGCTGTTTCTTTTGTGACACTTCCCCATGACAGTAAGGTGCTCAGTTACACATGACAGATACATTCTCTGGACTGTCAGTCCCTCTCCCAGAATCTTCAAATGTGCCAGTACTACAGAGCCTGGCACCACCTGCCCCCTCCCACTGCTGCTTCAAGAACACACCAAGCATTGCCCAGCTGAGTAACACAAACCACCCTGACACACAGCACCAGCTGGGATAACAACATGAGAGCTACTGGGCTGTGCCTCCCCAGCCCAATCCCACAGCAAAATGTGTTGCACATACATACCCAATCCACGTGGAATACAATCTCTCCTGAGGAGCCGATATCTGGAAGAAAGAGAGAATCAGTCTGTACCTTCCCAAGCTCCAGTCTGCTCATCCTCGCACACTGTCCACGCTTCATTCCAGCTAGCACCTGACACAGATGTGATCTCTCCCAACAGAAAGACACCTGGCAGTGCCTCCAAAACAACCACTCTGGTCCAGAATCCTGGACAGGGGTCATGTCAGAGGAGCCACCTTCTCAGTGATGAAACCAAACTGATTTTCATCACAACAGCAAATGCTGTTGGGCATGTGAGTGTCTCAGGAAAGGCATTTCTGATTTGAAGTAAATGGCAGCTGCAGTCTGAGTGAGGTTCTTTCGAGGTCACAGACCAACTTGGTAAGTGACAAACACAAAAGAGATGGCTCTTACCCTTATTTTGACGTCCTTCGGAGCCAGTTTCTTCACTTCGCTCAACAGCCTGTCACCAAAGCCTACACAAGACAGAAAACGTGCAATGTGAGCACCTCAGCAAAATCCCAAGTTCCATCCACTAACAATGTGGACATGGCCTATACAGTCCTATACAAATACCTCATTCCACATCTTACAGAGAGTCTAGTATGGGGAGGCACAGAACACAGACAATGACATAACAGGACTTTGTCTCACTGAGAGCTCAAACACTGGCACAATGGGCTCTACTCCTCAGCAGCAACCTCAGTCAAGCAAACAAGGTTTTTAGCTAGGACCTCCTCCTTCCCTAGGCCTTCCTCCTGTGTCCAAGCCCATTTGTACAGGGGGTTGAATGGGAAGACGATCTATTTGGAGATGTCAACCAGTGGATAACAGACTGATGGGTTCTGGCAGAGGGTATCTTTAGGTCAGCAAGTACCAACTGAGCCCTGAGGAGATGGGTTGAAACCTTTCTGCACACACAGAGCTGACACTCATGGTGTAGTCCTGCAGGACTAGGACCATTGAACTCTCACATATCAGAGACCCAAAGAAACCTTAGAAGATGGAAGAGTCCTTTTTGGTATCTAGTCTCAGATATCATGAGCTACAGCAGCAGGAATAAACACAGCTATTCAGTCCTTCTACAGGCATTGATTGGAGAAAAACAGGAAAAGAGTTCAAAGCCCAGAAAGTGATGTACAAGGGCAGGGGTCCTGCATACCCAGCAGGGTATGACTAGGACTCAGAAAATTAGGAAGTAAATGCCCTGATAGAGTAGAATTTACACAGCCCTTACCCCAGAGGACAAACTGGGTGATCTGGGTTATCTTCCCAGTTTCACATGAGAAAGAAGCAAGAGATCAGGAATGTCACAGCACACTGAAAGAGGAGAAGCAGGAACCTTTGAAAAGTGTGGAGCCTCCAGACAGCACAATGTTGGAGAACAGCGTTCGCCTCAGATCCATGTCTGACTTCTGAATGGCAAAAACGAGCACTTCGTGAAGTCCTTCACATTCCTCCCCTATCAGGTCCGGCCGGAACAGGAGCTCTGGGGCTCGGAAACGGGCAGGGCCAATCTGCAAGAGCAGAAGTTAGGACACAGGGAAGAGACCAGTGTGGCTTTCTTCACTACCTACAGATGGGCCTGCCTTTCTTAGGTGAAGCTTCAGAGTAATGAAACTTCCTGAACATTCTTTTTGCATCACTAGATACTAAGTGAATGCCAGTCTGGACTACAACCCCTACAAAGGGCACCATTTCCAATTTGCAGATGAAAGAGATGAAGAAACTTGTTCAGCCCCATACGGCAGGTCTGGCATAAAGGGAGCAAATCCAGCCCTGGTAGTGGAGGTAAAACCTGTATTTCCTCTCTTTCAACCATTCTATACTGGGCTGAGTCTTCTAAGGAGTATTCCTAACTCTTCAAGTCAACTGTTAATGCAGAGAAGACAATTCTAGGCAGAACAAAAAGGCACTGTATATAAAACCACTGATGGATTTAGTGAGCTGACACCTACTCACACTCCATGCCTGATCTGCATAAAGTTTGTTAGATCAGAGCCTGCTCTCAAACAGCTGAGTCCCCATTGTTACACTGCATCCTTACCCAGGACTTCTAGCAGAAGTTGTGAGGTTTCTAGTAAAGTTTTCTTTCCTTAAAAATTCTAGTGCCCAGTCAACAGCCTAGGATGAGTTATGGTCTTTTAAAATTATCCCCTCCCACCTAACACTGCATGAAATTTCCCATCACTGAGGAGCTTTTCTGGAAACCCTGTGCCTCACATGAGGAATTCTCTAAGAGTAGTCTTTACAAACCTCAATAGTGCTTCCATCTGGCAGGTAGTACTGAGCCTTCTCAGTCTCCAGAGTCTCATCCTTCTGGGGGTTTATTGACAGGTAGCAGGCACGCTGAAGAGGAAACAGAGTCAAGGAGAGAGAGATGAGATGGGTAAATCCAAATGCCTCTAATAAAATGTTTTTATCACTAATAATCAAAATCCACGTATCCCTTCGGGGAGACTGATTTCAACAGTATTATGTGCTGGAGAAAAGAACTTTAAGGTTCACAACAGGCAAACTACATTGCAATATCCCACCTGTGATCCCTACCTGCCATGGATTTTACTCCATGAAGGGAAATAAATACTACTGAAAGCCATCATCGGACCCTGAAAAACTGCAGCACAGGTAAATGCAAAACTAATTCTGAACCACCAGCCCATCTTCACCTCCACCTGTGTTAACAGCCTCTCAACAGGGATTAATGTGATTTTGACTATAACTCTCTCACAATATGGGACAGCTGAGGTTGCAAATGACCTCTTGCAAATGATCTTGTCTATGCAGGGTCCCCTAAAGCAGGCTGTCCAGGACCACATCCAGGTGATATTGCCAAGGATAGAGACTCCACAACCCTGTAGACAAACTGTGCTAGCACTTGGTCACCCTCACGCTAAAGAAAGTTAATGTTCAGACAGAACCTCCTGTGCTTCAGTTCGTGTATCTTGTCCTGTCACTGGACATCACTGAAATGAGTCTGGCTCTGTTTTCTCTGCACCCTCCCTTCAGACATTTATATACATCAACAAGACTCTCCCCAAACATTTTTGGTGGCTCAACAGTCCAAGCTCCCCCTGCCTTTCCACACGTAAGAGTCCTTTAATCATCTTAGTGGCCCTGGATTCCCTCCACCAATGGATTTAGGTGCAGAGCTAGGTAGGCTGAAACTTCCCACCAGATTTCACAAGTCACAACTTCCCTTGGGAAGAAATCCCCTCTTGGACAAACACAGAAACAAGGCAGGGCATCACCTCCTTGATGGTCTTGACAATCTCAAACTCAGAGGTTGTGTGGAAGTCATAGCCTTCCTTGCGGAGATAGAGGCGCAGGAAGCGGGAGACGTCCCGGCCGGCGATGTCGATGCGCATGATGGAGTGAGGCATGGCAAAGCCTTCATAGATGGGAACCGCGTGGGTGACGCCGTCCCCAGAGTCCAGCACCACTCCCGTGGTCCTGCCGGTCGCGTAGCTACCAAGGGACAAAGGCTCAAGTCAGAACAAGCAACTCAAAGTGAACCCAGGCAAGCAGCACATCCACGCTCAACTCAGGAAGCAAAGATTTCACATAAAACAGGGCCTAAAAACCCCTCAAAATGCAAGCTCTGTTGGCAGTTCAGCAAATTTCCTGTAAACTCTTTATTACATAAATTGAGTTTCAGTTTTGCATGAAAAATGGGGGAAGACATCAGTGAGGTCTTCCATGATATTTTTGTAGAATGGATTTCATGGCAACATTCCACAAACACAAATCAAAGACGAAAGACACTTACAGGCTAAGCACAGCTTGCATGGAGATGAACAGTGCTGGCACATTGAAGGTCTCAAAAAACACCTCAGCAGCACGCTCTCTGTTCTTGCGTGGGTTTAGGGGTGCTTCTGTCAGCAGCACAGGATGCTGGGAAAGAGAAGAAGGAGCTGTGCTGCAGTAACCAGGAGGCAGTAAGGGTCTGTTCCTAAATGTTTCTGCTTATTTATTCATTTTAGGAACCACTGGTGCAAGAGGGCAGGTACAAAGGAGTAATTTCAGCTGAGCTGTATTAGATTGAATAATCTTTATTAAGTTGGAAGACTAGCAGGGTTCTGGTTTAGTTATGAAGAAGTCTTAGGAAATGTACTCTGTGAGTAACTCTGACCCATGAAGGAGAAGTAGGATGATTTTTCTCAGTGAGAAAAATCAGCCAGATAAGCCAAAATACACACCCTAAGAAAGGGTGAAGGCATATGGTCTTTCAGCACAGGCAGACAGAAATATTCCTACTCCACAACTTAGATGGCTCTCGGAGATTTAATAATTTTTTGGTCTGATCCTTCCCGACCGCAGGACTGTGGTTTTCTCCTTCCTCACTTCAACTCATGTCACTGCTGAGTGGATATGCCTGATGTGCAGGCAGAACAGGAAAGGTCAGAAACACTTGGCCAAGAGTAGAATCATTAGAGAGAGTGTGTGAAGCAAATGTGAAAGGCAGATTTTCAGTTAGGCCAGACCATCATGTCTGGAGAAGAATTCTGCTTGGACACTTCTTGTGCAGTACCTCCTGAGAGGTGAAAGAACCTAATTTAGCAACAGACACACATTCAGAAAGAAGGCCAAAGGAAAAGTCCCAAATCTTTCCAAGTTCCAAGGCTCCTGGTGTTACACACACTGAATGACCCTGTGCCTTTCCATAACGTGGTCTCTCACCTCTTCTGAGAAAGTCTGGAGCTGGTCTTTAGAATACACATACTGCCAGATGCGCTCCATGTCATTCCAGTCCTTCACTATGCCATGCTCCATCGGGTATCGGATCGCAAGAAGACCTCTGTGCTCCTGAGCAAACAGGAAGAACAAGAGAGCATCAGAGCTTCCAACAATCCCCCTTCTGAGCACTGTGACTTACTGTCAGACTCACCTACAGCTTTGATTCCACTAAAAGATAACTTATCTATAGCATACAGGGCAAAACCTGAACATTCATCACAAACGTCTCTCCCAGAGAAGCCAAGCCTGGACAAGGCCTTTTCATACAAGTAGGAATGTCTACATCTGACATTTGCAGAGCATATTCCATCAAAACACTTTTAAAGTCAACACATACAGACACCTATCATATGTTATCTTTGTACTACCAGATCAGCCATGACATAAAAAAAACCATAATAGGATGTTACTGGGGAATGCAGTTTACTACATGCTGACAGAAGCAGGACTGTGGAGAGAAGCTTCCTGCCCACAACAGGGAGATACACAGAAATTGAGTAGGGTCCATTTCTAAAGTTCCCAGTCTAAAGTATGTAACCATATAGAGCTAATAAGTAGCCTAAAAAGAAAAAGAGAGATATCAAAGGCCTGTGTCAGCAGATTGGCTGACATTAAGCTTCACATTCCACCTTGGACACACATGCAAGTGACAATCTGTTCTACTCTTTGGACCTACACAATACCAAAGAACCACAGCCCAGCTGCCACATCCCCCCTTACAGCAGCACACTGAGATACATGGACAAGTGCAGTGTACAGGTGCTCTTACCTCTGCCTTTGGACCAATGAAAATGTCCCCTTCTAAAGCACCAGCCATGACACGAACGTGCTTTGGTCTGCCCACACTAGAACAGAGACAACAGAGTAAATGCTTCTACAAAGAGCTCATATGCACCCAAGGATTGCATACTTTGTGCTTCTCTCTGTCCTAACCAGAACTTTCACAGTGGGTGAGTTTGGGGGTGCTACCAGGTGCAAACAGATCCAGGTTTGCTCTGAGCTAATCTCAGAAATCAGAGGTGAAGGGGACAGACTGCAGACAGTTCTGAACTGGCTGGACATAAACCAGCTGAGTCTGGCCATATTTTCACTGATTATTCAGGACTCACCTGTTTCAACAGTGCCAGGGATGAACATGGCTAGACTGAGCAATTGTCTGAGGTGTTGGATCCACATGTGCTGCCAGACCTCAGGCAGACTTCTCAGATTAGACATTTGTGTCCCATGACCCACCATCCCATACAGAACATATTGCTCAGAACACAAAACTACCCACTAAAAGCCCACCACACTGAAAATAAAGGCCAGTGACTATTCAGAGTTCCTGTTCCAGCAGTCTTCATCCTGGCAAAACTCTGAGAAAACTCACAAAAAAGTATGGCAGGAATCAAGACATCATACCACACACCGAAAAAACACAGAGGTCTTCACACTTCTTATGCCAAATTTTACTTTTTCCAGGTCCTTTTCTTCATGTGTGAAGATTAAAGGATCCTACAGCTTTGGTTGTGTGTTGAGCCTGACAAAGTGATGTCATCTTCTATGATGTGTGTGTATGTCCCCAAAAATCTCAAAATATTTAACAGTGGAGCTCTCATCTCCCTGATGCTTCTCTGCAGCAGGCAGAAAAGAATAACTCGTTTTTCCATTCATAAAACTGGGCAATTTTTCCCCTCTACATACCAAAGAATTGGTACACAGTACTAAGAAGCTGCCAAGACCAGCAGAATACTTACTAGTTAGGAAAGCAGTATTTTGGTATTTGATCGCCCGCAAAACCTGCTTTAATCACACCCGAGCCCTGTGGAAGCAAGAGACAAACACGTGAGCTTATCACTCATTCCATCACCTTCACAAGTTTTAGAGGAGCAGCAAAGTACATCAAGACTGCCAGATCCTCTCCTTTCTACTAGGAATAAAGCTCCCAAGGGACTGGCTCTCCAGGCTGCTAGGGATGGGAAGTGCCAGCTTGGCTGCTGGAGGGAGTGACTGGCACCCTCTCTGGCAGTGACATCTCACAGGGCACAACCATCCCATGCACCCTGGTACTGCTCTGCACGCACCCACACACCCTGTATGGATGAGTATTTTTCTAGCCAGGGTTATGTGAGAGGTGCAGGAAGCTAAATCCACACTCCCCAGGTGTCTATTGATATTAGATAACCTTTGGGGGAGGGAGAACACTCCAGAAAGCCCAGCAAGAACAACTGAGCTCTGCCAGCTTCAGGAGGCACTGGAAGAATGAAGGCTACAGGCCTCTCAGAAGGAGATTTGGAAAAGATGGAGGGAGGGCAGATAAAGTCAGAGAAGGAAGTAGCAAAGAATTGTGAGAAACAGACTGGAGAAGAAGTAGGGAAAAGATGATCAGATGGTGGATGAACTAGCTAATGCTAAGGAGGCACAAGTGTGGTCAGAAAAGACACTGGAAACCAACCCAGACTGTGACTGGGAAAGGACAAACATTCCAATTACACTGCAAGGGGAAAGGCTGGGGGCAGGAGGCACAGCTGATAGGACAGAGCTTGTTCAGAGGAGTCAAAGAAGGGATGAGAGATGGCAGTCAGGAAGGCACAGATCCAAGAGCCTTCTGCAACATTCAAAGCAGCAAACACAGGGTGGGTAAAACCAGCCACAGCAAGGCCCTGGCAGGGAGTCAGTGCCAGGCATCTGGCCCCACAGCTCTCACTCCCTGTCCGGAAGCATCCTGGAACACCATCATCAACTTGGATCTGTGCTGACTCCTTCCCCTCCTCCATTTCCTCTCCCTGCACAAGGGAATGACATCTTGAAACAATGAGCAGCTTGCAGGAACACCCAAGTTTTGCTAAGGAGTGGATTTTCATAGGATCTCCTCAGATAAGCCATTTCACTGGTAATCCCAGCCTACCATGGGCACGAGCTCTCCTGCAGAACGAGGAACAGTTCTGCTTAGCCCCATGGTGGGAGCAAAGTGTGTGTGAACTTGCACTGAAAGCTGTGACCTGTGAAGTGCCTGTTCACTCTCAAGGGCTCTGCAGTAGGAATGCTCTGGTTTGGAGGCCAAAAAGATATTTTGGCTACCCCACTGCATTTTAAAATGAGCAGCAACACAGCTCCTCCATAGCTTTCCACTTCTCATCACCTCTGCATGGGTCAGCATCACCACTTTTGCTTTGAGGCTGGGGCCAGATGAGTTGCTCAGGGCTCTGACAAGCAAGCCCTGGCTGCAGTGGTTTCCAATGCTGCCTTCCCAGTGCCAGAGGTTACCAGCCAGAGCAGGCTCAGCAGAAAGGAATGTGGGGTGGCCCCAGCCTCTCCCGTTCACAGTCCAGCGTTTGCTGCCAAGCTACTTCCAGCAGCAGCTTCAGCAGGGATGTCAGGCTCTGCACAGAGTGTGCACTCTGCCACCAGAGCCAGGACACTCCTGCTCTAAAGCACCAGAGTCAGATTTGCCAGGACACATCTGTAGGAGAGGAGTGTCAGGAATACTCTGCAAACCAGACACAGCTATTTATAAAGCACATGAAAGGCAGATTGCTTGAATCCTTGTCTCCTGATAAACACCTGCAGCCAGGCTGGCTCCAGGAGCACGGCCAAGCTGCCAACAGGGCAGGACTAACTACTTCCTTTCCACACAGGGACCCAGCTCCAGGTGCATCCCAAGGTCTGCACTAACTGATGTCAGTGTGACAAAGTGGCAGGTGAAGTGTTAAAAAGACTTCCCTTGACACAGACTCTCTTCTGGCTATTCCCTTCAAAGTGAAACAAGGAACAAACCAAAACCACTATTTTGATTTTTCTTATCACAGCTTATAAACAACTCTCTACCTGGGAAAGAATACCATCCTGTGGCAAGTCTTGCAGAAAAATAATTGAATGAAATGCAGTAAAATAATGTAACCAAATTAGAATATTGCACTTAGTGAATATTTTGTTCAGGATTATGAGTGATCTTGTTGCTAGCACATTCTGCTGCAGGGAACTGGTTTCAGGAGAACAATGATGCTCCTATTTTAACTTAGAGATTAAAACTTCCTTATGTCAGGCCAAAAAATTGCCCAGTGTGTCCTGGTGAGATTCCCAGCAAGTTATGTATTTTAAGATTTACATACTGAAGTTCAAAGTTAACCAAATGTGTTGGGAGTTCAGAACTCCAGCTTGGAGTCAAAGACAAAGGACTGCTTTGAATGTGCCGGTGGGATGGGGCTTCAACACAACTGTGCTTCCAAGGGCCTGGGAACAAACCAAGAACAGCTGGTTGATATCTCTGCACTACAAAGACCTGACTGCACTTTCTGACCTATTCAATTTTTCTTGAAAACATTTTACTTCTTTGAAGATATGTGCACACTGAGTAAATCTGTTTATTATAGATCAGTTTGAGATTCCTATGCAATGAGAGGAAAATGTTTACATTTTGAAAGAACTCTGATTCAGAAGGTTTAAAGACCTGTTTTTTCATCTTTGTTTCAAATAAGCAAAAACACATGCATCTTCTGTTACAAACTCTGATTTATTAAAACTTTTTAAAAAATTGAAAAATTTATATACTTCCACCAGTAACTATCCTGGCTGGGTTTTCATTCCATTTTATCTGGCAGCGGTTTATCCTTTTTTTTTTTTAATCAGAGCAAAAGAATAAAAGAAGAAAAATTACAAGAAAAATGTAAAAGTCAAGAAAGATAAATTCATTAAAAATTCTTGTGAGTGTCTTGAAGGAACTGAACATACCTCATCCCTGATCATACCTCATGTACTAGTTCTGTGGCCAATTGGTTATGGATTCATTCACCTTGGTGCATTTAGGACTCAAATTTAAATGGAAATCACCAATCAATCTTCCATGTAGCACTTTCTATGGAGAGTGCACATTTCATATTGTTGTGAAACTGTTTTATTTGATACAGAATTTATAAGATCAAGAACAAACCAAAGACACAACAGCCCTTCCTGACAGCTCAGCTGCCTAAAATGCCACACTTAGACTACAAGGCAAACAAGAGATAATTCCATGTTCCATGGAGGTCAAGAAATTTGCACTGAATTAGGCCACAGCTGGACTACTGACATGTGCATTATGTTCAGCATGGCTCCCAGACCATTCAGAGAGAGCTTGCTGGACTGCAGATGGGAATACAACTCTTAATTTTTAGACAATGGAGAGTATAAAGTTGTGCTGAGGTACAGCTCCAACCTCCCACTGTACATTACAAAGCTCTCCCTGCTGAAAACATACAGCTAAGAGCAATGTGCTGTAAGAGGAAAAAAAAACCTGTCTGCTAATTTTTTAGCTACAGAACTTCATGTCCTTTTGGAACACACTGAGATTCTAGAGCAGGGCTGGGACTGGAGGGGTCTGGCTCTCACCAGCTCAGTATCTCACTTCCCCCTTCCCACACACAGGCATGTGAGACAGGATAACATTCAGCCTTCAAAAGGTGCTGCAGCTCTCTGCAGAAAAGCAGTAATGGAACAGCAGTGGGAAGAGTGGTACCTGCTCTGTGCAGCTCCACTTCCCATCCTGCCTGAACTCCAAAGAGTGAAAACTGCAGTGTCACCACGAGCCTCCTTGGCCCACAGCCTGCCAGCCTTCCAGGCAGATGCTACAACAACTGCTCCATTCTGCTTCTTGTCCAGGGAGGGGAAGGGGGGAAGCTCATTTATCGGAGAGGCAAGAACAAGAATCCGCTTTTATAAGACCAGCTGATAAAATGAAAAAAGACACAGAATCAGCTGCTGGCACATGAGCCCTCCTTCAGGTCTGAGGCAGAGGCAGCAATCACTGCACTATATAACAAAAGGACAAGCTGAAATTAAATATAGGCTGCTACATTAGTAGCTCAACAAAGTGATCCTCACAGTGCCAGAACACCTAGAGATAAATTCATTGTTTAGCTAATCACTCAACAACACAGCAGGATCAGTGCTGATACAGGCATTCCTTAAAACAATCAACCTAATGCATTTTTTAACATCTTCAATAAAGAAGATACATGTTTTTCTCAACACAGTCGATTTTACTGCTTACTCTCATTTTTTATTAGATGCTTTCCTTCAATGTCTAACTCAAATCCCTCTGCTGTAAGATTCCAGGGAAATAAACAAAGCCAAAACTGTATCAGAGAGCTCAAGCTGTAGAGAAGAACTTGGGATCCATAATAAAGAAAAAGTCAGAAGAATAACCACCTTTATCTGAGACCTACAATTATTCACTTTATGGAGAGTTAAAGCAATAAGCTGAGAAGTGCCAGGCCAAGAAACCCAATCCATATGGCAAAAAAAATCAGGAGAAATTAAGCTTGTGGAAGAAGAATGGAGCACAGTACTGACCCTTCAAAACAACAGAATCGCAATCACTGGCGATAGAGGTCAGAAGGGAGGAGCACGGGTTTGTGACTCAGTACACTGAAGGAGGCTCTGTCCAAGGCAGGCCCTCCCATTCCTTCCTGGATAGTCCCTCCTCCTGGGAGGGCAGCATGGATGGGGCAAATCAGAACTGGATCCAGAAGTACCTCCAAGAGGCACGGAATCACTGTCATTCATCTCCCGCAGAGCTATTACACACACAGACTGACGGTCTGCTTTGTGCTAATGAGCAGCATCAGCACATTGGAGCAGCCATCTGCACCACCACACTACGCTGATGCAACCCTGGGCACAGATCCGTCAGCAGTGGCATTCCGAGGCACGGGAATCCATGCCTTGGGAACGGCACTGCCTTGTTGCGACCAGTGCGCTGGATGCCCTGGAGGAGGGGCAGTATAAGAGGTCAAGGCTTCTGTCTCGCTGGGCCTGTGAGGGGTGCCTGCCTGGAGAGCTCCA